TCATCTTAGTTTCAAGACATCGAATGTCACACTAGTGTCATTTTAATTTTGAGACTAGAATGATATTTAAGAGTGTCCAGATTACTGGTATCCTCTGGGTTTGCTGTTTCTTTTATTGCTATACCATATTAAGGTGATATACTGTGAATGGCTTGGAGGTTGAACTTCTATGTCTGACCACTGTAGAGATTTTGGTTGCCTCCAGAGGCTCTTTCTATATACTCTTATCCTGTTAAATGGATGTCATCAAATCTAAGTTTCTCGGATGCATTTTTTTCCATCTAGTTGGAATAACTATATGCATTTGCTGATGAGATTGCTAAAAAATAGGTATCACCCCTTCAGAATAGCACCTTTTGAAGCCCATTCCTTAATCTAAAAGAAGGAAGAAGAAAATCTTACCTTTTCACCCATATTTTGGTTTATATTTCAATAAATTTTTCTACCTCTGTAACTGGAAAAAAGATGATAGTTACTGTTATGAAAATTGTCTTTAAAAATATATTAAAAAGCTGCTGTCTGCAGTGACACATGCCTATAGTCCCAACTACTTAGGAGGCTGAGGTGGTAGGATCACTTGAGCCCAGGAGTTCAAGGTGCCAGCTTGAGCAACATAAAGAGCCTCTGGAGGCAACCGAAATTTCTACAGTGATAAGGTGTGGTCATATATATTTTAAAGATTGTAGATAGAGATATTAGTTATTTTAATTGTTTCATCAATCTAGGCCCAGGCACTATACAAATTATATTGGTTAGAATTAATTCTGGCTTTTAAATGATAGAAAATCCAAAATCGTATCAGCTTAAACGTGATGTTTATTTTTCTCATGCACGTACTTGGGTAGGTAGAGCCAGTGCTGTTACGGCGCCTTGAAGACCAGTCCTCTTCTGCGTTATTCATCTAATTATGTGTGCCTCCATTTCCGAGTTATCTCTGTGTTCCAAGATAGCTGTTCCAAGAGCCAGTTATTACCTCTACATTTCAGCTAGCAGAGAGGAGAAAAGGGGAGGAGAAGGGCATGTCTCCTACTTTTAAGGACATTTCCTAGACATTATACATAACAGCCACCCTACTGGCTGGAGCATGCCTACCTGCTTACATTTAGCTGTAAGGGAGACTGGGACATAAAATCTTGATTCTGAGCAGTCATGTACCTTAGCTAAATTTGGAGGTCAGAGGAAGAAGGAGAGAGCAGGTATTAGTGGACCACCAGAAGTTCATTGAAGGACTTTAATTAAGTCACTGCCCTGCTTATTCTTGCGCAGAGGTAATTTTTTCTCCCCTTACATTCGATACAGAATATTGCTATCATCTCAGAAGCTGCCAGCTCTGGTATTTCATTACAAGCAGATCGGAGAGCTAAAAATCAAAGGCGAAGAGTTCATATGACTTTGGAATTACCCTGGAGTGCCGATAGAGCAATTCAGCAGTTTGGTACGTTCCTACGTTGGTGTTTCACTTAACGGATAGCTGGGAATCATTGGGAAAATGTATGCATATCAAAACCTGGTGTTTTTTTTTTTTTTGTTTTTTTGAGACAAAATCTCACTCTTTTGCCTGGGCTAGAGTGAGTGCCATGGTGTCAGCCTAGCTCACAGCAACCTCACACTCCTGGGCTCAAGCAATCCTTCTGCCTCAGCCTCCCGAGTAGCTGGGACTACAGACATGCGCCACCATGCCCGGCTAATTTTTTCTATATATTTTTAGTTGGCCGATTAATTTATTTTCTATTTTTAGTAGAGACGGGGTCTCGCTCTTGCTCAGGCTGGTTTTCGAACTCGTGAGCTCAAACAATCCACCCGCCTCGGCCTCCCAGAGTGCTAGGATTATAGGCCTGAGCCACCGCGCCCGGCCTCAAAACCTGTTTTAACGTTAGCTTATAACTCCAAAGCTTAGATTTTGCATTTAAGGAGTGTTTACATATACCTTATATAGTGCATTATGAATTCATTTTTTACCTATTTTAAAAGCTGTAAAAGATCTTCAGTGGGATTTTTGTGGGGCTTCTGGCATTATATCTAAGGGTGAGGCTCCTCCAGAGTGTTTTCCTTGTAGAGCAGCTGCTACTTCCATGTCCTTTTCAAGTCTCATTGGCTTCACTGAAGACACATTGCCATTCCTTCCCTTCTGTCTTCATTTCCCTGTGCCCAGTGATTTGAAGAACAACAATTTTGGGAGAATCCAGAGTGGCTTCGTTTCAGCAACACTGGGGTTAACCAAAATTGGGGTAGCAATAGTAATACTTCTGTCATTTAACAGTTTTATGGCAGGTTCTCTTCTCTCATAAGGGGGAGTATTGCTTTGAACATGGATGTAATTCAAGTCAGTGTTTACAATTTTATACTTTGTTTTGTTTTTTTTTTTTTTTTGATACAGAGTCTCACTGTGTTGCCCAGGCTAGAGTGCTGTGGCATCATCCTCACTCACAGCAACCTCAAACTCCTGGGCTCAAGCGATCCTCCTGTCTCAGCCTCCCAAGTAGCTGGGACTACAGGCATGCGCCACCATGCCCGGCTAATTTTTTCTATATATTTTTAGTCCTCCAATTAATTTCTTTCTATTTTTAGTAGAGACGGGGTCTCGCTCTTTCTCAGGCTGGTTTCGAACTCCTGAGCTCAAACAATCTGCCTGCCCGTCTCGTCCTCCCAGAGAGCTAGGATTATAGGCGTGAGCTACCGTGCCCAGCCTGTACTTTGTTTTTTTTATACACACCCTAGAATACTAGTTTTTTACTTTTGGGGAGTTACGGTAAATGTTATCTTTAATTTTTCCTCTTGTTAAAGGGTTTCTCAATACCCATTTAGTGTTAAGTGCTAGGAATAGATCTCAGAATATCCTGTCTTTATCTAGTGAACACAGTGATCTTTTACAAAAATGTCGTTACAGGACGAACTCATCGATCAAACCAAGTTACTGCTCCCGAGTATGTCTTTCTGATTTCTGAATTGGCAGGAGAGCAAAGATTTGCATCTATTGTTGCTAAAAGACTTGAGAGTTTGGTAAGTTTTTGAGTCGTGTGAATGTATGTAAAAGGTGATCTGTGTTATGTGTCTTCTGGTACAAGGTTAACTGTGCCTTGATTAGAAATTTTATGTTTTGATAGGGGGCGCTTACACATGGTGACAGAAGAGCAACAGAATCTAGAGATCTGAGCAGATTCAACTTTGACAATAAGGTACATTTCAGCTCCCAGTATCTCTGAAAACTTGTGGTAGTGTATGGTGTATGTAGCAAGCAGACAGGGAAAGTGGTTACTGTTTAAAATTGAAAACTTCTTGTTGGGCAGAGTTGGGGATGAGGGGAAAAAAAAAAAAAGAAAAACTTGTGTCTTCGTGTGGTAAAAAAAAAAATAAAATAAAATTGAAAACTTTCTCTCCTTATGTTTTTGCTTTAAATTCATGGTTTCCTGTAAGACATAGGATTTCACCTGTAAGTTAGATCTTTGGTGATTAACTCTGCAATATAGTCATCTATATAGTTATCAATGTAGTCATTCCCAGTAGGAATATAATAAACACTTGGGAATGAGTTGTGAGTTCCCATAAATAAAGGAAGTTATTTATCAAATGTCTGCTATATGCAATGGCAGGAACTAGGCAGTATAAAATCTATAAAGAGATACGCTTTTGTTTGAGATGTACTTTTATTTATTTGGTTAAAGGGGCAGAGTCTTGCTCTGTCACCCAGGCTGGGTAACAGTAGTCTAATCATAGCTCCCTGTATCCTCAAGCTCTTGTGCTCAAGCAATCATCCTGCTTCAGCCTCCTGGAGCTGGGACTATATGCCACTATACCCAGCTAATTATTAAAATTTGTTAGAGACAGAGTCTTGCTATATTGCCCAGGCTGGTCTCAAACTCTTAGACTCAATTAATCCTCCCACCTCAGCCTCCCAATTTGTTGGGACTTGGGGCACGTGCTGCTTTTTAATCTTTGGTACAGGGATGGTTGTTATAGCATGTAGGGGATCATGTGATTGAAGAATATCCAGATGCTGAAACTGGTTAAAAGTTTTTGGTTTTTATTGCAGTATGGAAGAAATGCTTTAGAAATCGTCATGAAATCCATTGTGAACTTGGATTCTCCTATGGTATCACCACCTCCAGACTATCCTGGAGAGTTCTTTAAAGGTAACATTTAGAAATCAACAGTTGACAGTGATACACTCAATTATTTATTATAACATTTGCTGTTTCAGTTTTAATTTTTCTTCAGGCATGAATTGTATGAAATGTAGAAATTAGAGGTTATTAGAACATGTGAGTTTACTTCTTATATTAAACAGATTTATTAAAACCCATTTTATTCAAATAAAAATGCTTTTGCTCTTGACATAGTAAAAGAGGATGTCACTACTAGGCTAATTTTTATTTTTATAAAATTCTTTTTAGAGATAAGGTCTCACCCAGTCTGAAGTGCAGTGATAACAGCCATAGCTCACTGCAGCTTGAAACTCCTGGGCTCAAGCAATCCTCCAGCCTCAGCCTCCCTAGTAGCTAGGACATTACAGGTGCATGCCACCATGCCTAGCTAATTTTTTTACTTTTTTTAGAGATGGTGTTTCACTGTGTTGTCCATGCTGGTCTCGTGGCCTCAAGCAATCCTCCCATCTCAGCCAATACTACTCTAATACTAATAAAACAAAGTGGTTTTAGTGCATTAAGTAAAATCAGTTTGCCAAATAGCTTTTAAAATTTAATTTTAAAGTTTAAAGAGTACCTGGGTTTATGGTGGGGGTGTAAACGAAGCAAATTTGGCCATGAGTTAACAGTTGTTAAAAGTCGGTGGGTACATGTGGCTCATAGAATAATCTTTTTTCTTTTGCATGCGTGGAAATTTCCATAATTAAAACCTTAGGTAGTACTATAGAAATTCTTAATCCCATATTACAAATCTGTAGAATAGATTTTGGCCCACCTCATACATGTAGGTAGGAGAGATGATTTTAATAGTTCAGGAAATTGAAAATAAGTTGGTGTAAGATATTTGAAACATTATCATTGTGGAGTTAGTGTGTTTTACTAGAAAGTCCTTTCCATCATACTAGTACATACCAATATGTGTGCATAGCAGTCCATGTTTACACACCTGTCAGAGGTGCTTGTGATCACTGACAGCTTTTACCAAAGCAAACAGTGAAGTCTTAACCCCACACCCTCTTCCCACCTTGGTCATTAGAGGGAGTATCCAAAATAACTCCCTGATTTATTTCTAATTTTTTAAAATTAACATTTACTTATTTATTATAAGTAATGAAAAGAATCTGGAAGTATATAATGAAGAGAGTTAATACTCCTCTTCTTAACACCCCTTCCATTCTCACCTTCTGAGGTCACAGATGTTGACAACGTGAGCAGGGGCAGCCCTTCTGTGTCTTTTCTCCATGTTTATCTTAGTACCGAGGTTTTCTTTTGAATGGCATGATATTACTTGCAATGTACTTCTCTCACTTAACAATACGTCACATACATCCCCTGCAAAGTCAGTAGCTATAGCGCTAATTCATGCAGCTAACCAAGAGTTCCATAATAGTCAACAGCATGGTTATAGTGAATCATTCACTATTGCTATTGAGATGGTTTCTAATTCTTTGCCACCACAAACAGTGCTGAACTCACACATAGGTGATTTTTTTTCCCCCATAGATGGATTCCCAAAAGATTTTCTGGGTCAAAATTGACCCTATTCTCTTATAGCCTAATATCTGCAAGTCTGGGTTGGAGCCTGCACACCATTATTTTTTTTAAAGCACATGGTATTCTGCTCCTTGTGTAAAATTGCTTAGATTCTGTGGGTGAGAACTTCATAGACAAAGATCTCTGCTACACAGGATTGCTGTTGGAAAGAGATATAGTGTGAAGTTTGAGTACTCAAGGATTTTGGAGTGGCTAAAGACCTTTGGGGACTGTGGGTTCCATTTAATTCAGCTAATTGGAACTGTAGAAGATATATAGGCTTTGTCTTACTACTAGAAATTGATCTAGTTTGATTAGGTAAGAAGCAGGTCCTTGAGTCATTTGGATTATAGGATTTTATATAAGTTTATTTTCTTACAGATGTTCGACAAGGACTGATAGGAGTTGGCCTGATAAATGTAGAAGATCGCTCAGGAATTCTTACTCTTGATAAAGGTAGTGTTATTAACTTTGTGGGTACATATAACTGTTGCTATATTATTAAATCCGATTTTATTACATGTGGTTTTGTAGCTGAAGGGGAAGCTTCAAGTCAGTATTTCTTAGTCTCTTGTTACTGAGCACTCTGGGCTTTTTTGGCCACTGTGGATACTCATTAGAGATTAAACCTCTATTCTGTCCATAGAGCAGCAGCTTTCAACACTGGCTGCAAATATAATCAGCTGTCAAACATTTACAAATGATTGAAGCTAGGAGTGCAGTGCAGACACTGGTAGTTTTTTTTCCAAAGCTCTTAGGCATTTTTACTGTGCAGCCACAGTTTGGATTCGATGGCTTAGAGAGTACTTGTAACTTCATGAGTTAAGATTTAATGTTGGAAAACCAACATTCTCAAGTGCTAAACTGCGTTCATACTTTCCATAAGTGAAGATGCAAAAATTCAATTCGACAAACATCTTTTGTGCATCCGTCATAGTTGTGCTAATTGCTAGAGGTAGAAATGTGCAGATCATAGCTCTGTTGCAGGGACGGGGAGAGTTGGGAAGGAAGACTATAGAAGAGAAAGTGGGATTTGAACTAGGCCTAGATGAGTAAAAAAATAACCATTTGAATGCATGAAATCATTGATATAATCTTATTATTGCAGATTATAACAACATAGGCAAGTTCTTAAATAGAATTTTAGGCATGGAGGTACATCAACAGAATGCATTATTTCAGTATTTTGCGGACACACTTACTGCAGTTGTTCAAAATGCAAAAAAGAATGGAAGATACGATATGGGAATCTTAGGTAAGTAGGGAAATATTTTAAAATGTCGTATGTATTCCTGATAAAAGTATTCCTTTTACACTTACATGTTGGTTTTCTTATTCAAGATCTTGGTTCTGGAGATGAGAAGGTGAGGAAAAGTGATGTTAAGAAGTTTCTGACTCCAGGATATTCAACTTCTGGCCATGTAGAATTATACACGGTAAGTGTGGAAAATGTGCACATGTTGACATGTAGTTCTCCTGTGATAGGAGCTTAAGTTTTATTTTATTTTTTTACAGATTAGTGTAGAGAGGGGAATGTCATGGGAGGAAGCTACCAAGATTTGGGCTGAGCTGACAGGACCAGACGATGGCTTTTACTTATCATTGCAAGTACGACTTTTGCTTTACATGTTAACTATTCAGATATGTGATACTTTCTCACTGACGACATTGTAACTGTGTCTTCACTTTGTGCCAATTTTCCAATTGTGTTTAGCTTTCGCTGTTTTGGCAATTTATTGTAATTGTGATGTTGTCCATTTATATACTTCTTTACTTAATATATTTTGAGGAATGTTACTAGATACAAATTTAGAAGTTATGTTTCCTTAGGTAGTTGAACTTTTTCCCCATAATATCATATTTTCTTTAGTCCTGATAATGCTTTATGTCTTAAAAACTCATTTTTCAGATAGTAGCATAACTATATTCTTTTAGTTATGATTTGCCTGACAGAACTAAGGAGGGGAAATGTGTGTGTGTGTGTGTGTGTGCGTGTGTGTGCGTGTGTGTGCACGTACGTACACTTGTACATATAGGTGTGCACACGTATGCATACACATGTGCTTTCATATATAGCACAATATCTTGAGTTCATATTGACTTATCCTATTGAAATCCAAGACTACAGAATTTTTATATCCCCAATTCTCTATATAGTCTTTCTTCCACACCAAGAATCTTTATTCTCAAAGACACACAGGATGATAAAATATTGATACTGAACTCCAGAATTGCTGAAGGTTTTTTTTTTTTAATTAAAAAAACCTGTTTTTCCATGTTTCCCTCATTTTACAAAATAGTTATTGTTTCTGCATTGTCATAGTATATAGTAATTATACAGTATATTCTTCATTTTAATCTTTATTTAGTCTTAGTTGTATGGGTCATATTTAATGCTCACTGTTCACTTACTAGTCCATAGGTTAATCAATCTCTAGTCATTTTGTCTGTCTGGTGCTTATTCTGTAGTAGATAAATTAAGAAGGGCTTATGGGATCATTACTCCCTGAGTTCTTGCACGATGATAAGTTTGTGCCCTTTGTACTTGAAAGATAGTTTTACTGTATATGAAATCTTTGATTTATATTTTCTTTCCTTGAGTATCTTAAATATGCTGGTATTTATTCTTCTAGGGTAAAGGGTTGCTGTCAAAGTTTGATGGTACTCTAGTTTTCTTTCACTTTTAAGAAGTAGTTTCAAATCTTTTTATTTCAGAACGTTTTCTGAATTATATATACAAGTCTGTATATATATATATTTTTAATTCCTATATGGTTTCAGATTAATTACATTTTTATTTTATAACAATTTTAATATTTTATTTTCTTGGGTTTCTCCCTTACCAGGATTCCTATTATCCATATATTAGATGTTCTTTGTATATCTTTGATACTTATTTTCTCTTGAATTCTTTTTTTTTTTTTTTTTTTTCGAGACAGAGTCTCACTCCGTTGCCCTGGCTAGAGAGCATGGGTGTCATTATGGCTCACTGCATCACTGCAGCCTAAAACTCCTGGGCTCAAGCAATCCTCCTGCCTCAGCCTCTCAAGTGGCTGGGACTACAGGCATGTAGTCCCACACCTGGCTGAGGTTTCTATTTTTTTGTAGAGATGAGGTCTCACTCTTCCTCAGGCTGGTCTCGAACTCCTGAGCTCGAGTGATCCTCCCACCTTGGCCTCCCAAAGTCTCTTGAATTCTTATCTCTTTGGTCCCTGATCTAGAGCAAAGCCCTTAAACATCTGACTTCTGTTTGGGTTGTGGGATTTTTTTTGTTTTGAAAATATTTGTTGAATTGTAGGTTTATTTGCATGTAGTTATAATAAACAGTACAGAGAAATTCTGTGTATGCTTTGCCCAATTTCCACATTGATAACATTTTGCAAAACCATAGTATAATATCACAACCAGGCTATTCACATTCGTACAATTCACCTGTTTTATTCAGATTTCCCCCATAGACACAATTTTGGTTGGTTCACATAGGGTGTTTGTTATTGTTTTTAGTTTAAAATATTACCGAATTTCACCATTGGTAGATTGTGATGAAAGGTCCTGATCCCCAGCTTAGTGTGGCGACACTAGTCCTTCATTTCCTGCATGGCAGTGGGTGGCTAGACTTGAGGAACAGTGGCCCTAGAGGTGTCATTCCAGGACTGTGTGGCTGTTTGCCTTTGAACCTTCATAGCATTCAGTGGACTTCTCTCTCCTCCCCTCCCCTCTCCTCCCCTCCCCTCCCTCTTTTCTCTTTTCTTTTCTCTTTTTTCTTTTCTCCCTCTTTTCCTCTTTCCTCAACAGCAAACATGCTTTTTCTATGTGTAACATATGTTACCATTAGGAAAACAATGTCAGAATCACTTTTATTTCCACTATATTATGATGATATTTTATAATTATAATTAACTTGACACTATCAAGACAGATCACACTGTTACATGCTTTACAGGCTGTCCTCCAAGATTAAGTTTGGGAGTTTCCTGCCAACTGATAAAAAATTTTGTATACAATTTTGGCTTTAACCATTGTTTATGACTTTGCAGTAATTATATAAATAAAGTTTCAAATCATTTGAACAAAAGGCAAAGGATCTTTAATATCTTTGAAGAGGAAAGTAAAATACTATCTTTTTCTTTTATCATTATAAGAATTAATATAAAATGTTAATACCTCAGCAAACAATGATTTATTATGTAGAGGAGCTGGGAAAATGTCTTTACTTTGAAACTTTTCTTTTTCCTTCAATTTTGCTGTAGAGATTATTGCTTAGAAGCTTTTCATCCCTCGTTAAAGAAGAATTGAATTTTCTAATTTTGTTTTCTCTTGAGTTAAATAGAGCTTTTTATAACTCTTTCCTCTTAGAGTTTCTCTCATGAATCCAACTTTAAAATTAAAAATACATACCTGGATTCCAGAGTTTCTCTAATGCTTGCTTTTCTTTGATTTTTCCATACATTTTTATGTATAATGAGTTCAACATTTTGGCCTTCTGCTGTGGTGGCTTTGTGTTCACAGAACTCTGTTATGTGATCTCTCCTTCCACTTTTACAATACCCTGTGATGTAGGGAAGGCAGCACTGGTGGAACAAGTGTGTGCAGAGGTCGGGGACATCCAGGGCATCTTGGTGGTGCTTGAAGGAGAGCAACACGTTTTGCAGCATTTTATTGTGGAGAGTTTAAAACGTGCAGTGGAGATGAAAGAATTTGCCTGTTAAGATCACTTGTGTCCACTATCTAGATTCTACTGTTAGCATTTTTTAAAATTTCAGTGTATTTGAGGGTACAAATGATTTTTGGATGATTTGTATAGTGGCAAAGTCTGGACTTTTAGTGCACCCATCACCAAAATGTACATTGTACCCAATAGATAATTTTTCATCTCTTACCCTTCTCCCAACCTAACCCTTTCTGAGTCCCCAGTGTCCATTATCCTACTCTCTATGCCCCTGCACACCCACAGCTTAGCTCTCACTTACAAGTCAGAACATGCGGTATTTGGATTTGTGTTCCTGAGTTACTTTACTTAGGATAATGGCCTCCAGTTCCATCCAAGTTGCTAGTATTTGAAGTGTATATATGTATATACATTTTCTTTGTCCACTCATCTGTTAACATTTTTTTTTTTTTTTTTTTTGAGACAGAGTCTCACTCTTTTGCCCGGGCTAGAGTGAGTGCCGTGGCGTCAGCCTAGCTCACAGCAACCTCAAACTCCTGGGCTCAAGCGATCCTCCTGCCTCAGCCTCCCGAGTAGCTGGGACTACAGGCATGCGCCACCATGCCCGGCTAATTTTTTCTATATATTTTTAGTTGTCTGATTAATTTCTTTCTATTTTTAGTAGAGACGGGGTCTCGCTCTTGCTCAGGCTGGAACATTTTTTTTTGAATGGCCTTCAGAGATAATCTGTTAACATTTTATTCCACTTTTTCTTGTTTCTCTGAGGCTGCTTGGCTATGAATCCAGGTACAGGAAATAGAAGAAGCAAAATCGTTTGTACTGGACATTTTTGCATTAAAGCTTATTCCAGTTTTCTAAAGAAAACCTTGGCCCTTAACCTACATCCTTCACCATAATTATGGTCCAATAACTACCTTTTGGGTGTGGCCTTGTTCACGTCTTTTAAACAGCATTTGTGGTCCTTTATTGCAGTTATTCATGTACTTATTTGGTGTATAGTCTCTGAAATGATATTTGCTGATGTGATGGAAAAAAATTTGTCTTAGAGTGTGCAGTATCAAATCTTTTTATTTTCTCATTTTTTTAATAGATAAGGAACAGCAAGAAAACTGCCATCTTAGTTAAAGAAGTGAATCCTAAAAAGAAACTCTTTTTAGTTTATCGACCAAATACTGGGAAACAGCTCAAATTAGAGATTTACACTGATCTAAAAAAGAAATACAAGAAGGTATTTTCTCATTTGTTGTACATTGTTATATATGAATACCAGTTTTTATGATATGTTGAAACTATGTTTAGGATAGCTGTATCTATATATAAAATTATTTTGTCAGTTTTTCTTATTTGGTTACTGTTTAAAGGAAAATAACAAGTTTTGTTACACTAATATTCCAGTCTTTTAATGTTATCAACCATTAAGAAACTTGTAAGATTGTTATTTTAAATAGCTTTTGTTGAGAGTAAAGGAAGCTTTCAATACTAACCACAAAAATTAGAGTTTTTTATTAAAGGGAATGTGTGTGAGACTATAATTCCTACCACCTCTTGGTTTTATTGTGGGCATGCCTCTTATGTTTATTTTTTGCATCGATTTCTAGAAAACAGTAAATGACTATGTTTTTTCTAACATTACTGTTAGTTTTTATTAATAGTACTACCCTATATTACTATTCCTTGCTATTCTCATTTGAAAACAATTATAATTAAGTAGTTACGAAAATCCTATTATAGAAACTCATTGTATAGGAGAAACCATTACAGCAGAACTTTTTTTTTTTTTTTTTTGAGTCAGAGTCTCTCTCTGTTACCTGGGCTAGAGTGCCGTGGCGTCAGGCTAGCTCGCAGCAACCTCAAACTCTTGGGCTCAAGCAATCCTTCTGCCCCAGCCTTCTGAGTAGCTGGGACTACAGATATGTGCCACCATGCCTGGCTAATTTTTTCTGTATATTTTTAGTTCAGCTAATTTCTTTTGATTTTTAGTAGAGATGGGAGTCTCATTCGTGGCTTAGGCTGGTCTTGAACTCCTGACCTTGAGCGATCCTCCTGCCTCGGTCTCCCGGAGTCCTAGGATTACAGATGTGAGCCACCACATCTGGCTGGCAGAACTTTTTGAATAGCATTCAAATTCAACTAGTTAGCAAGGGCTAGGTTTTCTGTATAGAGATGATTTTAACTTAGCTGCCGTTGGAATTAATACACCAGATTAGGCAACCGGTATTATTTCAAACAATACTATTTCAGTGAAATTTTTGTCTTACTTTTACAGGTTGTCTCAGATGATGCCTTGGTGCACTGGTTAGATCAGTATAATTCATCTGCAGATACCTGTACTCATGCTTACTGGTTAGTATTTTCATGTTTCTTACCATATTTTCCAAAGTGCAATCAAGATTTCAATACACCTTCACTCTTTACCAATATGTCCTTATGAGTAAATGAACAGATTAACTGTCATTAAGCATGCTTCATTTCGTCAGGAGTATTTATTGGACATTTGTGGCCCAGCCACTATTTAGTTTGAGTGTCCCCTCTGCTCCTCATTGATGCTTGGTTATTTCTTGGCAGTATGGACTTAACTGTCATCCTTGTTAGAACTTTTTCTTCCTCCTCCTCTCACTCTCTCCTTTCTTTTATTTCTTCCTCTCTTTTTAAAAAATTTTACTGGCGTCTCAGATCTAGGGAACTTACAAGAAATCAGGGAAATGCCTAAAGTAGCTGCACAGGATGAGAAGACTTGATGTGTTGAGTCCTGGAGCCAGTCCTGCTGGGCCCCTGGATGGCCCCTTACAGTGTTCACCTCAGGACCTTGTGTAGAGTATTTTAATACTCTGTAGGTCTTAATTCTCTCTTTGGTGTTTTCTCTCCAATTAAATAGTTAACATTCTTGCAGTGTCTGGTGTACATTTTGAAAAATATAGGATGTAAATGAATTTTAGTTTGAGGTTTTTTGGGGGGATTCGTTATGCAGGTAGGTAAGTTTAATGTGAGCACTGCCTTTTATTTTCATTTTGAGAGTAAATTAGTCCTTTTGGAAATTAACTTAGGAAAAGCCATTAAGATAAAATATTTTAAAAGTTAACCTGTAAAAGTCCTCTACAACATTTGCTGTGAGTTATAGCAAGAAAAGTACCCTATACGTTTTTTGTTTTTGTTTTTGTTTTTTTAAAAGATACAGAGTCTTGCTCTGTCATCTAGGCTGCAGTACAGTGGCGCAATCACAGCTCACTGTAACCTCCAACTCGGGGCTCAAGCAGTCCTCCTGCCTCAGCCTCCCAAGTAGCTGGGACTACAGGCACATGCCAGCACACCTGTGTAATTTTTTTGTTTGTTTAATTTTTTGTAGAGATGGGATCTGGATATGTTGCCTAGGCTGGTCTTGCCTGGCCTCAAGCAATCCTCCCACCCTTGACCTCCCAAAGTGCTGGGATTACGTAAAGGCACGAGCCACCATGCCTGGCCTATATGTGTACATTTAACACTGTGTATTAAATTCATCTTGAATTATATACTGACAAGAAAGAAGGACATTTTTATTGATGAATCATGAAAATAATTTTAACCATAAAATAATTGGTATGCCTTCCTTTTACTCAGTTTTAAAATTTACATACAGTGTCAGTCAGTGTCTCTCTCTCTCTGCAGGTACCAGTGCAACAGAGTCTAGCTCAGTAGGAGGAGAGATTGGACTGAAACCCCTCCCTGCCACCTTTTATAATTTTTTAACTTTTTTTAATGAGACTGTTCCCACTAATCTGATCTAGAGCAATGTATTGGTAGTTTGATAATGTAGAAATAACTGACAGAGAATCTTTTTTAATCCCCTTTTCACAGGTGTTGATATTTTTTTGTGTGGCAGGATCATTTTATAAGCTAGCGTTACTATAAGATAATAGATACTATAATGGCCAAAATGTTTCAGTTGATATGCAAACCAATAGAGCAGCCCTTTACAGGGAGGCAGGCCCCTGAAAAAAACCTATAGTTTTAAAAGTGAGTGGTGATACCTTAAATTGGAAAGGATAATACAATATGTCAAAAGGATTGTAATCTAAGTAACAGTCAATAAAGGCAAATAATGCTAGAAATTTTTCCACTTAAAATTTGGATAGATCTTGCAAACCTTACATCAGTTTGTATGTGTGTGTGTGTGTGTGTGTGTGTGTGTGTATGTGTGTACACACACACACATATATTTTCCCCCCTGTCTTTCTTAGGCGTGGCAATTGCAAAAAAGCAAGCTTGGGATTAGTTTGTGAAATAGGTCTTCGTTGCCGCACGTATTACGTATTGTGTGGTTCAGTGCTGAGTGTCTGGACAAAAGTTGAGGGTGTTCTAGCATCTGTCAGTGGCACAAATGTGAAAATGCAAATAGTTCGGCTAAGAACGGAAGATGGACAACGGATTGTAGGTGAGTCTAACTTTTACTTTGAGTTTTGGGGGGAAAAATCTGATCCTGTTTTTTTCTCATTTTGTTCCTAACATCTGAGCTCTATTCCAGATCCATTTAACATCTGTTCTAGTAGTAGGTATGGAGCTTGGGCTATATGTTCTTAGAAGGTAGGACAGAAGTTAAGCCTTTGAACAGAGATGTTGGTCCTGGCTGAAGTCAGGATGTGCTCGTCTCTCTGATGTGCTCTAAGCTGCTCCCGCTCCACTTCTCAACTGCTATCGTCTGTGCAGGTTCCCTGGTGTGAAGCTAGCTCAGCCTCTGGCCCTGAGTTCTCCATTGAGTCAGTTTGAGACTATGGAACTCAAAAGCCACTGTGTACAGAGGGTGGCTCAGTGTCCTGCAGGGAGCAAGGGCAAACTAGGCTAGCTGTTCCCACCGTGTGCTCAACTGCAGGCATCCCAGGAACCTGGCCAGCTATTGCACTCTGCCTGTTTGCTTGTCTTTGTTTTATTTACAGCAGCCTCCTCTGTATCTTGGATCACAGATTGGCAGCCTGCGGGACAAAGTCAGCCCAGGAACTTCTTTTTTGACCCTCACGTATTTTTGGTTGTTGCGAGTTTTCATTTTGTTGCGAACATTTAAGAATCAAGAAGTTTCATATAAAAGTCTGGATTTCTTTAAACAAACAACAAAAACAGCTTATCTGGAACATTGAGCTCACATTCTCTCATAGCAGGAGTTCCTTTCACAGGGCATATGCTTTCCAGTTTGCTAATATCTACTCTGTGTCCACTGCAGAGTCACCTGCTTCAATAAGCATTTGAATTCACAACTTTTTTCCTTTTGGTGCATTAGTACATGACAAAGAAGGTGGTATTTGCATATGTTTGTGGAACTACAAAGATAGTAGATAGAAAAACGCTGTGTTTGGCTTTTTGTCCCCCCCAGTAAGAAGATGGCTTTACAGTAGACAAAAGCATATGCGTGGGTACTTGTGGGGAATGCTGTTGAAGAATCATATTCCATCTCAGTGGGCCATTTCAGTTATTAGGTACTCATGTAATTTTTGTGTGAAGTTCTTCATTACAGTTAATATGCCTCACTTGGAGTCTGCTGTGAAGCTGTAAGATACAGTATAGTTTCTACTGGATGCAACTTTATAAATTCTTGTTACTAATTACAGGTTTGATCATTCCGGCAAATTGTGTGTCTCCTCTTGTAAATCTCCTATCAACTTCAGACCAGTCTCAACAGCTTGCGGTCCAGCAGAAACAGCTGTGGCAACAGCATCATCCACAGAGCATCACCAACTTGAGCAACGCGTAAAGAGCAGACAGGTTTCAACATGGATGTATCTGAAATGCTGTTGAAGCATATCATTTGCATAAAAATCAGGGACAGTTTCCAAAGAATTATATATTTTTTTCAGTTGTGCTCTCTCTAGTTAATTTTTTTGGGAGTAAGGACAAACCTGGAATAGATAGCAAAACTGAAAATCAGCAGTGCCGATGGTAGTGCATATGTCTTTCCTTTTGCTTTTCCCTTGGTACTTCCCATGTGCTTTTACTTTGGGTGAGCAGAGGGGGATGTGTGTGTGCGCGTGTGTGTCTGTCTGTGAGTTTGTTAAAGGCTACAAACCACAGTTGGTTTAAAATGCTTGGAACTTCCCAAACTGGCTTTACTTTTATGTTATACAGTGCTCAGGGTTAACACAGTACATCCATGTCATTGCTGTGGGAGTTCTCCCTGGATGCATGTGTTTTGAGTCCATAAATATAGAAAATATATATTGGTTTCTTTTTCCAACTTAAACAATAGGTTTCTTGAAGCATGAAATGAAAGGTTGCATATCATGCATTCAGGTTCTTTTCTAGTTTTTGTTCTGACAGTGCATGTCTTTGAAAGCATGCGTAAACAGATTAACACAGAAGTCAAGTAATGGAGGGAAACATTTGTAGATGTACAGCATTGGTTATTGCATTTTTATAGTGTTTATACCTGGGTATTGCTTCCAGCCCTGTGAACTCCTCCCTGATTCTCCTCCCTGCCCCAGGTTTCTCATAAGGTAATGAGTACATACATTTTTTGTGATTAAAATATCTTAAAAGTTAATTTTAATGTATTAATAATATTCCTAATGTGTGCTGCAAAAATGGCTATAAGCCTCTTAAAGTTACATTTTCAACTTAAAGATAGTTTTAGAAAGAAATACAAATTGGCTTTCATCTCGCAAACAATCTTTTTTTACTTCATTTTCTTAATTTGCTTTGTTATTCATAAAAAGGAAACCATACTTGAGTTGTAAACTAGACAATGAGGAAACACTTGAGGCTTCTGCTGTATGTTTTTTGTTAACGTTGTTATTGTTGTTACCTAGTAACTTGAATATTGTTTAATGTGTTGTAAGACATTGTAGAGTTTATCTCAAGCTGTTTAAAATGGTAATGTACAAATGTGAATAGACACTTATCTATACTATGGGTAAGTTTTGTTTCGCCTATAATAGATGTTTATAAAAACAAGTGAGGGGACAGTTGGTCTTTTTGTTTCCTTTTTTTCTTTCTTTTTTTTTCTTTTCCTTTTTTTTTTTTTTTTTTTTTTTTTTGCTTGCACAGGTTGCACTATTGAAAAATTGAGATTGTATAAACCTGGTCAAAAGCTGCAAGATACCAACATCTTGTAGATGTCAAATAAAAAGTTATTATACTAACAAGAAGTGGACTCTTGTTTAGGCCCCCACCGGTGACCTTCAGAAGTATTCTGTAACGGGGACTCTGCAGAACTTTTTGTATTGTCTCAGCATTCCAGGTAGCCTTGTGGTTTGGCTTAAAACCTACCCCTAAAATTTGAGATGGTATTGAGGAATGGGTAAAATGATAGTACCTTTGAATGTTTTTCAAGGTGAATTGTTCCGTTTGTAACTTTTTAAACTTCTCACAGAATTGGATGAGTTGTATGTTAACTGACAGAAACCTGAAGGAAAGCTTAGGGCTTTCATCTTCTTGTGTTGCTTTAGCCTGAGTTTGGTTATGTCAAGTTTACCATAAGCTTTCTTTGGGTTTACTCATTCTTGGTGCCTAAAAGAACAAATTGAGAATAATTTCTGTTCTTTGGCACATTTGCCCAGTGGATGCAACTTTTATCCTCAATCTAGTCCATATATCTCAGGCAGTGATCCATTGTATATCAGCCAGTGTCCCCTGTTGGGACCACTAGACCTAGCTGGTAGCCAGGAGCAGAACTGTCCCCACCTTCAGCAAAATTTCCCAGTTAGTGCTTCTGGTTTTAAACTGGTGGTCCAGTGAGCTTCCATCAGCACACTTAGGTGAAATCGCTAGACCTGGGGAAGGGAAGTGTACAAACCCTCCCCGCAGGGAGACAGAATGGCAGGACTGCAGAAGGTATTCTCTCAGGGGCTGTTACCCCAGCTCCCCTTTCTGTGTGGGAGGGTATCTTTTTTAGCAGGTTGTGGTTTTTTATGGTGTTTTCAAAGCAGTATGAGTGTGAGGATTCTTTAGCATGCAGTTACGTGGCCACCCCCTGCCCCCCATAGTTCATGATGCAGTGTTTGCTCTGCAATAGCCATCTTGATTCAGAGGGGCATATGTATGTTATTTTTTTTGGTAGAACAGCTTTTTATTGTTGTTACTTATTTTTTAAAAAGGCCTCTGAAAGCCCTCTCAAAGCAGAATTCTAAAAAGCAACTGGTGTGGATGGACGGGGGCTGGGGTGCCGCATGGCCACACCCATCACGGTGTGCCCTGTGCCCAGAGGCTAGCACCCACCCCTTGGAGGTGGACATCCGACCTTTACACTGTGCCCTTACAAAAGTCAGCAAATTCAGGTCCACCACCATGAGAAACCCCAGCATTCAAGGTCCTTTTCTGTCAAAAATCAAGTCTTCGCACCAGTTAATTTCTGTAAAATAGGTCCGTTTATTGCAGAATCTAAATGCCACATCAGAATCCAGAGGCCTTGTTATAACCCCATGTCAGTCCATTTGGCCTCTGCAATGCCTTTCCTCCCTTTTTAGCAATATGGCTCTGAGCACAGAGATTTGATTGGAAATCATGTTGGTGTTTTCAGAGTTTTCAATATCGATTGTACTGAAAACCACTTCCTGAGTCCAGAGCTGCTCTCTGGGGGAATTAGTGTTCCCCTAATTTAGCAACCTCCATAGGACAAGGTATCTATCTACAGTTTGGTGGGATTATCCAGATATGCTATCAATGATATGAATCTATAAAGGTATTATCGATCTGTTTCTTTAAACACAACTTGATCAAAAAGTAGATGTTAAGCAATTTTCTCTTTTTGCTGCTAAATTGCAGATACATGCTTCAATATCTTCTCTTTACATGTATATATAAATTACCAAGAACCTGCATCCAAAGCAATGTAATAGTATGTGTATGTGTGTGTGTGTATATATATATATATATATTTATTCTAATTCATTTAATTTAGCACTTCAAGAAACCTTTTTGAGTTGCAACAATAAACCTTTAGTTGTAGTTTGCTTCATCTGTAGTTGTAAAAATTCTAGCTTACCAAGCTCCAGAGGACTGTAATATTTTAGAGGCACAGTTTTCTGGCTACAGCCCTTGGGGCGTTCATTTGCTGGTGGTCTCCACGTGATGCTGTTAGAAGAAAGGGTACCAGGACAGCATTCACAGTTGAGAAAGAGCCTTCTCCCCTCTCCCCTCCACTTTCCACGGTAGCGTGAGGGAAAAGGCCAATAGGGTAGAAGTGATTTCTCATTTCACTAGGAAGTAGGGACAGGAGTTCCCCTTGGGTCCTTTTCTTGATGAGAGATTAAGAGGAAGGTCCCTATCCAAGTGTTCTCCTTTAGAAAATGGACCTGAGTGACAGTTGGTAGAGTGGTGCTACGTGAGCCGTTGCTGATGAGCATTTGTTGACTATCCTTCCCTGTGTCTTCGGTCCATAGCTGCGCACACTGCGCACGTGCTCTCTTTGCAGCTGAGATGTAGCGAACGTTCCATGTCATGGCTACAGCTGAGAACAAAAACTGCAAAAAAAAAAATCTCTCATTTGGATGCCAGTTGTCTAATACAAATGCAATGTCTTTGAAGTGAAAGAAACACACTTAGATACCACCCGCAACTCAAGCTAGCTAGCAATTTTTTTCTGAGTACTTGAGGTTAAATCCAGAACCTACCTTCTAATTGTATGCTGTATTTATATGTGTACATAAGCGTGTATATATAGAAATGTTAAGTTCTTTTGAATGTAAATATTTCCTGTAAATTGGGACCTTGCCTACTCGTTTTTCCTTTTTCCCTATTCCCTCTTCCCTTCAGTTCTATTTATTCTTTTCTTGACTTTCCCATATGGGGCATCTTTTTTTTTTTTTTTTAATTTAGAAAAGTATAGAAAACTTCTTAATTGAATTTGTTCCTATATCTTAGAATTCAGTTGTGCATCTTTGTTATAGAATTCCTATTGGTTTTGTGTTAATATTTTTCAACATGCCTGATTGTGTTTTGCATTTTTATTACAGTTTTTATTGTGTGCAATGCATTGTATTGGGGGAATGCACTTGAGTGCTGTTTCTGATTCTGTCGTTGTATGACTGGTTTATGCTCATTTATGTTGTTCTTTGGAAGCTATAGTGAGCCTGATGTTTTCACATAAAAAAAAAAAAATTGCTTCCCAAGACTTCCTTTAAGCTCCTCTAACTTCTTCAGTGCATTTGAGATCAAACTTGGGTCTGAGCGCAGTAAACCCGACTTGCTCCCTCCCTGGCAGTGTTCCAGGTCTACACCAGATCCCTCCCCTGTCTCTGGCTTTCCACCTGACAGGGAAGGTCTTGTAGGTTTGAAACAGGGGTTTATGGCCTGCTGCTGCTGCTGCTGCACGTTTCATGTTTAGTTAAGAAGTTGGGCATATACTTTTAACCTACAAATAATAAGCAGAAATTTTCTTTGTAATGAACACAGGCAATACCTGCTCTGTTATAACCTGTTGCTATATAGAGAGGTGGGAGACAGGCTTGGTGCATTAGGGACAAAGTGACCTTAGAGAATGTATATTAAGGAACAGTTGTCCCCCAAAGGAGAACAACACAGCCGCTGCAGAGGCTCCCCCAGCCGTCGGCTCACAGGATGCGTGCGAGAGGGTACAGCAGGCAGGTGCCCGCTGAAGGGCCGGCCCGTGGCGTCCCTGAGCCGCTGCTGCTCTCCCCCCTCCTGCTGCGGGATTGACCTTGACTGCACCAGCCGGAAACCTGGATGGAGGCATTTTTAATGATTAGGGAAGACCCATGGGTGGTTCTTAAAAATGGTGATATTTATCACCTCACCCGGGAGGCAAATAGTGGGTTTTTGCCATTAAGAAAATGTTCCTCTGTAGCTTTCGGGAAGGATTGCTGTGAGCATTTCTTGGGCCTTTCCTTCATGTATAAGTTTCATTCATTACTCTTCAAGTTGGTAGACTTGTTGAGAATTTAAAAGTCTTGGGAACTAAATTGTCATGAATTGGGGTCTGTCACAGATTGCCTCCAGTGCGAATCCCCTGTTCAAACCCTGCTTGCCCAGCTCTCTTCCTTTGGCGCCCCCGGAGCAGTAGAACTGTGTGGTTCGCAGCAGTGGCGCCCCGGCCGCAGCAGTGGCGCCCCGGCCGCAGCAGTGTGGCAGGGCCGGGGCACAAGTCAGCGAAGAATGCCCTCTAGTGCAGAGTTGAGCAAGGGCGGAAGCCAGCGAAAGTCAGTTCTTTCTGATGCTTGCGATTCAGGCCTCCTCCAGGGTGAAAGTCACTCTGCAGGCCCCGACCTAGTATCCTGCCCTGAAGCCCACCCATGCCGGACCAGGCATTTCTGGCCCGTGGACACTCAGGGCCTTTCTTGCTATGACAGTATTTGTGGCACTGAAGAGGATAAAGAAGCTTGAGCCCTCTGACTTCCACTGTGTGGGGCAGAGAGAGCTTTTTTTCTACATAGCACATTGCAGTCTCACCGCTACCAGAAAAAAATCATCCTGTTCATGGTTTATACTGAATTTGCAAACTACTGATATTATTTTTCAATAACCACTTGTTTCTGTCATCAACCATGAGAGGTGGGAAGAGGTACACGGTATCTCTGCAATAAAACTTTTGCCAGGTTCTACCTCCTCTGAGCAAAGGATACTTTTATATGTAGGCATAGATCTTCCTCCTTTACTGATCTGACATGGTGCATCTTGAGACAACAACATCTGATGGAATCCAAAGACAATTTGAAACAAAGGTGGATGTAAACTCTTGTTTTTATTTCATTCTTTTTTTAAATCTCCTTTTTTATATTGCTACTCTGTTCGGGCGTGTCCGTCAGCGTGTGAAGGGTACGCACTGTTCTAATGACACTGCACTGCTTCCTTCAGCCTTCATGGGAATCCGGTACCAAGTGTCCAGAATCGATTGTTCCAGCCATTTTGATATGTAACTTACAAACTCGGTCTCATGCAATAAAAATGTATCGGCTACATTTAGCAAGGTTTACTCTTGCCAGTAAAAGCGATCACCCATGAAGCATAACAAATTCTGTATTTAGTTTTTTTGTTGTGTTTTTTGCTTTTGAGTTTTTTTGTTTTTGTAAGATTCTTAAATAAATTAAACAAATAAATATGCTTCTTCCATTGTGCTTCCTCTGTCTGAGTTCGAAGCTCCCGTTGAGCTGTACCCCAGAGGGCTTCTTCCCACGTGGGGGTGGAC